AGCACAATACCCGCTTTTCTTGGCCCGATGCCCGAGTCCACGGCCCGAAGCCTTCTGTCGATACGTCGACCGATCCACCGGCCCGACGTCCAATCTTCTGACATGTTCCTCCGGCACAACATGATGTTCCTGCTTTAATTGTCTCATCCTGATCAAAGCACCCTGCGTCACTCAAAACGCAGATTATCTCATAAACATATATTAAGTAGTTTCATCATCAAAATACGAGATTCAACAATAAGTGCCTGTGAATCATTCTGAGATGTTGCCGAACTCTTTCTTCTCAACTCCTCATTCAACAAACTGCTTGTTACTTGACTCATAGTGACAACACCATCTAGCGTAAAATTACTGAGGGAAACCACTAGTGTCTCCCAACTTTCTGATAATGAACTGAGAAGTAACAATGCCTGCAACTCATCATCAAGAGACATTTTCATAGAGGATAACTGGTTAGTAATACTTTGCAATTCATTCAAATGTTCAGCAATAGAAGCACCCTCTCTATATTTTAGGTTCACAAGTTTTTTGATAAAAAAAGCTTTGTTGCCAACTGTTTTTCTTTCATAGAGACTTTCCAATTTTTTCCAAAGAGAATATGCAAAAATTTCAATAGAAACATGGTGAAAGACACTATCATCAAGCCACTGTCGAATAAATCTAATTATTTTTCGATCTAACCTCTTCTACTCATCATCTGTTATAGTTGTGGGTTTTGCACTATCCCCCTGCAAAGGTCCATACAAATCTTTGCAATACAAGAGATCTTCCATTCTTGGTTTCTATATCATCCAATTGTTTCCATTTAAACTAATCATGCGAGAAACATTACTGGCCTCCATGTTCAAATACAAAATTTAAATCACCAAAACCCCTTTGCTCTGATACCAGTTGATGGGGATATATACAGGAATAACCTTTGTATGTGAACAAATACTAGCAGACCATAATACGTAGTAGAATTAAATGAAACCACAATCAAATAGAACACCAAGATATACGTGGAAAACCCCTTCAATGTGAAGGGTAAAAATCACGGGGCAAACTAGAGATAATCCACTATGAGAATAATGAATATACAAATCTCAATCTCTTGCCCTAAACCCTAGCAACAATCACAAGAGAATAATTGGGATACAAGGATCACGTCACTGCCTACAATATCTAAAACCTTCCTAAGTAATCATAGCAAGAGTCTACTGTAGATTTGATCTAACCTGAGATGAGAACACTACTAGATGATTGAGAACAGCCTCTCTGCATTGTCCTTGTCTTCTTCCCTTTCTTTCTCTTCCTTTTCTACCTTGTTTTCCTCCTTTTCTTTGGAATCCCGTGGCTGTTTTCTTCTCCCACGTTACTGCCCTATTTATGTCTTTTTTTGCCTCCAAAACATAGCCACCAGACCCCCCCTAATGTTAATTAGGGTTATGTTAAGAGGGGGTGAGCTGTGGGCTGCCTAAGCCCACTATGGGCTGAATTTGTAGGCTGTCAGCCCAACAGAGAGACCTCCAAAGTAACAAATAAGGACATGATAGTATATATGACCAAAGACAATGAGCATAAACTTGGGCAAAGGATGATGGCATGACAATAACGAGGAACAAGGGGCAAAGATAATGACGAACGAGGTGAAGGTTAAAAATAATATTATCTTTTAGAAAATAAAAATTACTCTTTGAGAATAAAATAAAAAGAGAGCGTTATATGAAAAAAATTAAAAAACTTTGAGATTTTTTAAAAATTTATCCACATATATAATTAATTATTATGATCTTATGGTAAATAATATCACAGCGAACTTTCTAATCAAATTTGAATTAAGTCATGTGATAAAAAAATTCTTGCTGATATTTTATTAAGTATAATATGCAAATAACAATTGCAGACAGATACAAATGCTAATAGTTATTTTAATATGTATATCGATGAGTATACTTATTCTCGCAATGATTAAGGAGTAAGAAAATTAAGATCAATTGAGAATTAAGTATCACCTCCACTTTGAAACGCATATTTTGGATTCTACGAGAGCTCGAATGAACAAGAACGGACGAGAACTCCCCATAGCTTACAATTTCTTGCAAATGATGACTCATAACCATATCAATTGACGATGCATTAGCAAAAATATGATTCTTCATACATAAATATATAATTGCTTATTATAGGACTTTCGAATGTCTTTTAAGCGTGCACATGAAAATACGCTAAGGTTTGATGGTATATTAGTTGTGTGTCTTTGTGATCATGGTGTAGTAATTATTTTCAAGTAATATAGTTTTCTTCTTTGTTTTTTTTTTTGAAGAATTGCAAAATTTTATCGACAATGTCAAAAATTCTAATTCGTCAAAGTCTCTACCACATCTATTGAAAAGCAAAAAATACTGTTATTTTTATTTGTTAAAATGCAATGTAATTTAAGTTTCCATGAGGAGGAATTGGTTAGCTTGATTTACAAGGAAAATTTATTTTTGGATTATTTTTCTTTTTCTTGTCTTTATTCTTTTGGTCATCAAGAGTTGAATCAATCTTGCTCGAACAAAAATGTGTTTATATTGTCCTCCATCTATGTATGGTTGCAAGTACAAAATGTGTTTATATTGTACACCATCTGCCATTCGCAATTTCATTAATTAGTATGCAGATTAATGCGTCATGTAGAAAAGGCAATGAATGCCATGCAATGGTTTCACGTTATATCTCACCAGCGGAAGCGAGAAGAAAGAGGGAGGAATTGAGATGGGAGAGATGGCAGGATGCCAAGTAACTCCTCCTTCTCTGCAACTTGACTTGGTCGTCAGGGCTCCATATATGGCATGGCGATCCAACCGCAGCACGAGGCTTTGAGCTGACCGTCAAACAAACGAAGAGACTCATTTTTTGGTCCCGTAGCGCCATTTCTCTCTCCTCGACCTTCCCGAACCCCATTCCGGGATCGGAAAGGAGTTCGACTATACGCGCCCGCGACGGCGGAGGTAACAGAAGAAGCTCAAGATGATGACCATGGTTTCGATTAGAATGGATCAGGCATCCCTCCCTTTCCTCCTCTTCCTCCTCCTCCAGCTCCTCCTCTGCTCGACGCCGACCTCCGGGCAGGCGCAAAAGTCGGCAGCGGCCTTTACCCTCGCCGACAACTTCCTGATCGACTGCGGCGCGACCTCCACGGCCGCCATGCCCGACGGCCGTGAATTCAAGACGGACTTGCAGTCGACTCCTTTCCTCGCTGCGCACGACGAGGTTCGCGCGTCCGTCCCCGCCGCCCCCGGCGTCCCCTCGCCGCTCTACCTCACAGCCAGGATCTTCCACGAGGAGACCTCCTACAGCTTCACGCTCTCCCGCCCTGGTTGGCACTGGATCAGGCTCCACTTCTTCGCCGTGAACAGCTCCGACTTCGACCTCAGCAGCGCCGTGTTCACCGTCAACACCGACGACTTCGTCCTCCTCCATAGCTTCACCGTCGACGACCCCACCAAGTGGGTGCTCAAGGAGTACCTCGTCAACGCCACCAATCCGCGCCTCGCCATCCGTTTCTCCCCGCTCCGCAACTCCGTCGCGTTCGTCAACGGCATCGAGGTCGTCTCCGCCCCCGACGTGCTCATCCCCGACACAGCCTCTACGGTCTCGCCCGTCGGGCAGATCGGCGGGCTCTCGCTCTCCGCTTACCAGGTGGTCTACCGGATCAACGTCGGTGGGCCGGTCATCACCTCCGCGAACGACACGCTCGGGCGCGCGTGGGATCAGAGCGACACATTCCTGCAATCGAAGTCCACCGCCAAGAAGGTGTCCGTGTCCCCCAGCATAATCAAGTACCCGGAGGGAACCTCGCCCCTGATCGCGCCCAACACCGTGCATGCCACGGCCGTGAAAATGGCGGACGCGCGCGTCGGCCGCCCCAACTTCAACGTGACGTGGATCTTCGTCGTCGACCCCTCATTCGGGTACTTCGTCCGACTGCACTTCTGCGACATCATCAGCAAGTCGCTCAACGACCTCTACTTCAACGTGTACATCAATGGGATGACGGCCGTCTCAGGCCTCGACCTCTCCACCATCACCTCCGGCCTCGCGATGGCCTACTACAAAGACATTGTCCTGAACGCCTCGGTGGCCACGGGCAGAATAACCATACAGATCGGCCCCATGAAGGAGAACACTGGCAGGATCGACGCGCTGCTCAACGGCGTGGAGATTCTGAAAATGAACAACTCGGTGGGGAGCTTGGACGGCGAGTTCGGAGTCGATGGCTCCATGGCTGGAGGCGGCGGCAGCTCGAATCGGCGTGCGATCGCTGCCGTCGGATTCGCTATGATGTTTGGTGCCTTCGCCGGACTGGGGGCGATGGTGGTGAAGTGGTACAAGCGACCCAAGGACTGGCGGAGGAGGAATAGCTTCTCCTCGTGGCTCCTTCCGGTACACACGAGCACCTCCACGTTCACGACCAGCAAGGGGTCGGGTTACGGGTCGCACAAGAGCGGCTACACCTTCTCCTCCACGCTGGGTCTCGGCCGGTACATGTCCCTGTCGGAGCTGCAGGCGGCGACGAAGAACTTCGACCAGAATGCGGTGATCGGGGTGGGCGGCTTCGGGAACGTGTACCTTGGCGAGCTCGATGATGGGACGAAGGTGGCGGTCAAGAGAGGGAACCCGCAGTCGGAGCAGGGGATCAACGAGTTCCAGACGGAGATCCAGATGCTGTCTAAGCTGCGCCACCGCCACCTGGTGTCGCTGATCGGCTACTGCGACGAGAACTCGGAGATGATCCTGGTGTACGAGTACATGGCCAACGGGCCGTTCAGAGACCACATCTACGGGCACAACCTGCCGTCGCTGACGTGGAAGCAGCGGCTGGAAATATGCATCGGGGCGGCGCGCGGTCTGCACTACCTGCACACCGGCACGGCCCAGGGCATCATCCACCGTGACGTCAAGACCACCAACATCCTCCTGGACGACAACTTCATCGCCAAGGTTTCCGACTTCGGCCTCTCCAAGGACGCGCCGGGAATGAACCAGACGCACGTCAGTACCGCGGTGAAGGGCAGCTTCGGCTACCTCGACCCCGAGTATTTCCGGTGCCAGCAGCTGACGGACAAGTCGGACGTGTACTCCTTCGGGGTGGTGCTGCTGGAGGCCCTCTGCGCACGGCCGGCCATCAACCCCGCCCTTCCGAGGGAGCAAGTGAACCTGGCCGAGTGGGCGCTGCAGTGGAAGCGGAAGGGCCTGATCGAGAAGATCATCGACCCCAACCTCGCCGGCACCATCAACAAGGACTCCCTGGGCAAGTTCGTGGAGGCTGCGGAGAAGTGTCTGGCGGAGCACGGGGTCGACCGGCCATCCATGGGCGACGTGCTGTGGAACCTCGAGTACGCTCTGCAGCTGCAGGAGACCAACCCCCCTGACCCACCTCCTCAGGAGGCGGCAAAGCCAACCGAGTCAAAGGAGGAGGAGAAGGCCGTCAGCATCCAGGTCTACGCGGAGTCTTCGCAGAGAGAACGCGACGAGCCGCCCGCGGGGACGACTCCCGTCATGAGCCGATCCGTGGAGAATTCGAGCACGACGATGGCGAACGAGCTGTTCGCGCAGCTAACGGGAATGCAAGGAAGGTGATGTACGTGCACGTGAGGAAGGCGTCTCAGGAGATGAGATGGACGTGGTTTAGTTTGCTGTTCTCGTCGTGTGTTGGGATCTCGTGTGACCATTAGCAGGTCTAATTGTTCAGATAAGGTCGTTATTGTGACACGTAATTGATGATACTTTAATACCCTATGTAACAAGGTAATTTACTGGGTTGAATTAAGTAGGCAAAAGAGCCAAATGACCTCTTTTTTCTTCCCACTTGTGCTTTCTGCTGTTGCTCTACTAAACTGTGGGTGAAGTCGCATCATATGTGGTTTTAGAGCGTAAGACGTCGAACACGTTGTGGGTTTCTTTTAATTATGTGATCAATTTAATTAGACAAGATATTTATTAGATTAGATTATATTAGATTTTAATTATGATTATCAATAAATAAAAAATTATAGTAAGATTTCATATAAGATACTTCCATGTGAATGACTCAACTAATTATCTATCTTAGTATTTTTGTTCATCCTTATAAATAGACATGATTTCCTATGAACTCTTGATGCTTTCTTCGAATCAAATGATAGTGCTAGAACACCTGACTTCTAGTGCCACTCATACCCTATATATATATATATGACTAATGTAGGATATCATATTTCAAATTTTTATCACTGCTATCAATATATATATTGATAGCAATATGACTGTAGTAAAAAGTAAGCAATTCTAAAATTTAAATATGCTAACTTACTAAACAAAATGATAAGATTTTCTGTGTACATAATATTTTTGATACATGTAAATGATTATAACCTCTAACCAAAAGAAAAACATAAACATAGCTTGCACGAAAGTTATATGCACAAAATACTAACAGGTCATCATTCATATCCGCGTTGGCATGAGCTTGCACGTGCTTACTTCCCTCCCCAATCACTTCAGTAGGGTATTAGTATCTTTACCTACAAATAAGGTCTATAGTGAGTATTCGTTGAGCAAGTATAAGCCTTTATAGCTTTATTGTCATGTCATATATATAATATTTTAAAATCATTAGCATAAGATATTTAATGGTAAAACCCTCATCCAATGATTTCTTTAGCAAGTATAACCCTATAATATAGTATATACAAACTAAAAAATTAAAATTCTACATCAAAATAATTCAAAATGCTTGTGTGCACATGTAAGAAGCATAGAAAATTTTTGGACTTTTACACCTTATATCATAACATGTATATGCATTCATATATCATACGTGATCGTAATATATACGAACACTCTCACATCGCATGTCATAAATAATATGTGCACTCTTACACCGCACGTCATATTATATGCGTGTACTCTCACACCATGTATCATTATAATATATATGTATATTCTCACACCGTACATCATGATACATATATGTACTCCCACATAGCATGTAATCATAATATACATGTGCATTGCACATTATAATATATTTGTACACTCTCACACCGTATGTTATAGAAAATGTGGGCACTCTTACATCATATGTCATTATATATACATGCATGTAAGATATTTTTATTATAATTCATATATTTTTATGCTTATAAAATATATACATTCACATTTTAGCTCATAATATTGATATCATTCGAAATATATTTTCCAAAATATATTATCAATACGATAATTTATACGATCATTATTTTATAATAAATTAAACTTATAGTTACCTGATTAAACTCAAAATAAAGATGTTAATGAAAACCATGTTCTTTATGTTGAATCTCGAATTTTGATGATGAAATCAATTGATGAGGTTATGATCTAATGTGCATTTGAGTGATGTAGGACTAATCTCGATCAAGGAAAGATAATTCGATTAAAGCAGGAAGAATCAGATGTTGGGCCGGAGTAGAACATGTCAGAAGATTAGACGTCGGGCTGGAGGAATGGTTGACGTGCTGGAAGGACTTCATGCCATGTGTTCAGGCATCGGGCCGAAGGATCGGACATTGTACCAAGGAGATTGGAAGTTACGGGAGATCAACATACCGATTGGGCAATACGTCGAAGGATTAGATGAAGCACCGAAGGATTGGACGAAGCATTGGATGAACCAATTACATGCCCGACAACATAGGGTTCACGCTTGTAATCGATTATGTCTAGATCGAGTTAGTTAGGTCTAATTGAGTTAGTTTTGAGTGTAACCAATACACCTCAATTAGGGGCCCATTGGGCCAACGTTGAGGCTATTTTTGTTAGGATCAATATGACACTAAGAGAGGGGGGGTGAATTAGTGCAGCGATAAAAATTATGTTGATTTAGAAAATTTTGTTCGATAAAATTGTTTCGACAAAGTCCATTTCAGACAGTAATGAAAGTAATGACTTAGAGTAAATGTAAAGTGTAGAGTGCAGCTAAGTAATGAAGGAAAGTAGTAAGAAAAGAACACACTAGATTTATAGTGGTTCGATCATTATGACCTACGTCAACTTCCGATTCCTCCTCTATCGAGGTCACCGATGTCCACTAATGGTCTTCCTTCAATAGGGAAAGACCAACCACCTTCTTACAAATCTTTCTCCTTTTCACGAGTTTAAGAGACAACCCATACAAGCCTCACATCTCTTCTCTAATGATTACAAAGCTGAAAAAAGAGGAGGACTTTTAGTACTTTTACAATACTTTTATACCCCAACACTTAAATATTATTTCATATTTTTCTGCTCTTTTTGTTACCCTTTCATATAGAAAGGAGTGAGGTATTTATAGGCTCCAAAGGTTTCAAAATTGGAGCCTATACATATATACATATACATATATATATACATATATATATACATATATACATATATACATATACATATATATATACATATACATATATATAAACATATACATATATACATATAGACATATATATATGTATATATATATATATATTTATATATATATATATATACATATATATG